AGGTCTCTCCCTTGATTCCACGAGTAGTTTGTCAGGTCTCTCCCTTGATTCCACGAGTAGTTTGTTAGATCTTTCCCTGTTTATAATAGTTATTATACTATGTGAAGCATTTATTGTTTTATCTTTTAGATTGGTTTTACTGGTTGTGGAATCAATCCGGCACGATCCATGGGTCCCGCTGTCATCATGAATATCTGGACTGATCACTGGGTAAGTCTTGGGGTAATCCATTTATTAATCAAATTCACTTAATCATTGAATTCTCAACACCCCACTACTACCCCTACTGGACCACACCCAACCAACCTTTATAATTTCGAGAATTTATATGTAGGATTATGATTTGTTAGAGACACCCCCAACCACAAAAAAGTGATTGCATTGTCGTCTTTGGGCAACGTCTTTACTATAAATTTAATAATAATATCAACTTGGGATTAGGCTGTAATAAAATACCGAGGGGATATGGCGTTTTTAATATTTCATAAGTAGTTTTTCTTATTGGTTAAAGCCATCAGCCGTCGAGCAACATTAGGCAGATTAAGATTTCCCGTTTTTCCTTCCCGCAAACGACAAACGTGACCACGCTTTCATCGTTTCCCTACATTTCATTTTACCTTTTGCAAACCTTCTTGACAAAGGCAAGTATTCTTTTGTTTATCTACTACTCGGAGATTTTTGCGATTCCTTTTCACTAATTTTAAAGAATTTTTTAATGATCAACTGACATTTTAATGGACAACTGACATTTGTCGTAAACGAGAATCTTAAACTACTCTCTATTATCGGCCTAACCGCAGGGTCGTAATTGATTCCCTGGGTCAGAGATCTAGCGAGGAAGGGAATGATGGGGGGAAGGTACTTCACTTACATTGTCTCTTTCGCCACACCAGTTTTTAGACCTAATACTGATCTAGTTTTTCACAATACTCCATTTTACAGTTCCAATTCAGTGACTACGAATAATAGATAGTTCCAGGCCGAGGCTGCAGTTTCCGCGCATAGCAAAACTATACTTTTTATCGTGCGCGGGAGCTGCAGCCTCAGCTTGGAACTATTGTTCGTGGTTACTGAATGGAACTGTAAAATGGAGTATTGTCAGTTTCACCACACAAGCTTTGCCACTCTCTTCACTGCTACGCGCTGATTGAGACAACAGGGACTGAATAAGGCAATACACTGCCGCCAATCAGAGAATATAAAGGTACCGACCAATTTATTTGATTGATGGAAGTGTATTGCCCAATTTTCCTTTCGCGATTGTTATCTCCATCAGCGCGTAGCAATGAAACGAGTAGTAAAGACCTAATATCTAGAATATTTGACTAGGTGTACTGGATTGGACCATTAGGAGGAGGTATGATAGCAGGAGTACTTTACCAGCTGGTATTCCGTGCCCGAGAAGAACAAGTACCTATCACTGAACCTGGTGGCATTGTTTTAAACAGCTTGGAGTCACGCTAGAGCTCTGGTTTGCTGTGCCAAATATATGTACTAGATTTGTACTACTTTGTACTAGATCACGGTACGCGCGCTTTTCGCGCGTGCTTTATAGACCCTTGCACTGAGTCCATAAGAGGAATAGACCATTTTCGACCGCTGTGTTTCTTGATTACAGACTCATTTACTCAGGTTTAGCCTCGAATCTGTGTCTAAATATTGACAAATACCAACGGTAAAGTAAGAATGCACAATTCAACAATACGAACACTTTGAAACTTGACGGACCTTGACTGGAACACGTTAATATTCTTCACAAAATCGAGGCTAAGCCTGAGTAAATGAGTCTGTAATCAAGAAACACAGCGGTAATTTGGAACTCGAAAAGGGCCTATTGTTCTGGAGGACAAAACAATGGATCTTTTTGAAGGCTTTTATTTTGTCCCCCAGAACAATTCCTCTAGGAAATCAATGCAAGGGGTCTATTTAGCAAATAGATCAGTCTTAGCTATGTTCTGTTCTCTGATAGGACACGACTGGAGCTGTAGGACCCGAAAAAAGTTATAGAAATCACGAGTCGTTGGCGATTTTTGCGAGAAAAATTTTAGATTTTAGAAAATTAGATTTTTACGAGAAAAATAGCGTAAACTTGTAAAAGCTGTTTTATCTTTTTTAAATATCGTAAGTTTTTTAGCAAGAGTTCTGGGTGTCCTTTCCTATTCAAGGCTCTAGATATTGGTAGGAGGGAAAACGAGTAGCTTTAGGTACGAGTCAGCTGTGAGCTGGCTTTATTTTTAATAGTGTTTTCATGAGAAAGACAGCATCACCTGTTGTACCACAGGTAGCCCAAGCAATGCATTTGTGGTGTGTATGGTGTGCAAATGTATGGGACGAAAATATGTATGTTTGAAATATGTACTTTTAAAAAAGGTAAACAGACCTTGCTCCTGTGTTGTTGTTAATGGTATTTAACGTCATTCTGAGTGTTTTTTAGCTGTTTTAGAGCAGTTAAAAAACTTAAGCTTAGGCTACCAATAAATAAACTCACAAGTCTCATTCATGTCAGTGACATCCTTTGTTCCCTTGCACGCAAAGGTGGCCGCCTTATGATGTATATATGATTTATGCTCAAGTGTTGAGTACAGTATACTTATAACTTCAAAAACCCTCAGGTTAAACTCATTTATATTTTGAAATTGGTTTGTCGCTCCAGGTGGAGTGACTACATTGAACTCTCACGATACCGACTGATAAAACTTGATGATAATCGACTCACATACGCACAATCGTACACGTACACTACTTTCCCTACCGCAATTCCCTGACAATTTTCACGTATGGAGAATAACAATAACAGTAACCAAAGAAGCCTGAGAGAAAAACTTTTAGACAGGCATTTATGGATGTGTTTCACGGCCGAGTTCTTTGGCACTTGTGTTTTTGTGTTCACGGTTTGCGGAGCGACATTTACTAGTACAAGGTCTCCCAACCCAGTCTACGTCTTTCAAATTGCATTGACTGTTGGGCTTAGTGTTGCGACCCTTACTTCATCTCTTGGACATATCTCTGGAGGACAATTCAACCCTGTTGTTACTATTGGATTAATGGTATCAAGAAGGATTCGTCTTCTCAACGGACTGGTGATTATCGGTGCACAGTTCTTAGGAGGTAGGTGTCTAACCATTCTAAAACTTAGAAAAATTTAGCATAATACTCTGCCAAGGTGCGCTTTAAAAGGATTGATTTTTCCCCCATGCTTTTCATACTGTTAGTTATTTAAAAAAGGCTAGAGGGCTGCAGCTGTTTATAGTCTTCGAAATCAAATGGTGAACAGGCAGATAAATAAACTCAATCAGTGTCGTGTTTAGGAGAAAGGTCTAATTTATGAGAAAATAGGCTCCGACAAAGAGGAAAACCCCCTAACTTTACTCCAGAAGTTTTTATCTCGAAGACTGTTTGTCTCGCAGATTGAAAAACAAGAATTTCTCATTTTTTATATTTTTGGAGCATGTCATTCCGATTTCTTAAAAGGCATATGTTGAGAAAATAAAGTATTTTCTTCGATATTTTATCTCTTTCTTTTCTAGCATTCTCCAAGTCATGTATCTCCCTCTCATGTGTTTCGCTTGAGTTGAGATTTAGCGTTTCACACAAACAGTATATATTTACTAGAGAGGTTTAATATACAATGTCTGTTGCATTTAAAGGTCTGGAAAGAAAAAGCGTTGAATCCCAATAACTTTAAGAAAATACACAACACATTTAGGTTTTGCAAACCTGTTTTCATTACATCCTATTTGTCATTGGTGCAAGACAGAATGAAAGATTCTAATTTCATTTACTCAGTTATCTCTGTATATTAAAAACGTGGGTTCATATATTCAAGGAAGGTTTGACTGTTCTTTCCATCGTCCTTTCCTGCTGGGTGTCGGTAATTGTAATCTGCCACGTTAGTTGCTAAGGAGTTTAGTAAGCTGTCGTCGACAGAGATGAGGTATTATCAATTATCTTTCGTTCTTTATTGCTCATTTGCGCAAAAAGTATATATATTTCATCGTCAGCGTCAAAAAAATAATTTGGTAACTCCAAAGCCACTTCATTCAAACCTTAATAGTGACTTTTTAAGATCGAGAGAAAAATCGAGAATGAAAAGAGATCGACACTAAAATATTGCACTTATTGAAAAACGCTATCCTTAATGCTTGTCATTTTGACCTCATAATTACAAGAAATATTTGAAGTCTAATTAATTTTAAGATTTTAGTTTTATTTTGGTTCCTTTTCTCTTTCTCTCTCCGAATGAATGAAGAGAGAGAGAGAGAGAAAAAGAGAGACGAGGCATGAAAGGTGAAAGGTAAAAGTCTGATATTTTAGTCTTAATCTTTTGGTGGATTTCCGTTGAACGAAAAGTTTTCAGCGTGTGAGCACCTTGTCGAAAATGTAAGGTTATTTCATGTGGAGAAAAAATATATACACGAGAAAGAAAGCAAATCAATAAAGTAGAAAAAGTGTAATCTAGTTTTAAACATTTTAAAGACAATATTCAGTTTTTTTTTGAAATTGAAAGGCTCTGTTATGTGATTGAAATAGAAATGAAAACCAAGATACGATTTCAGACCCCAAACCTTAAATCTTCGAATTTCTGTCACCTAATACGGATTGATTGGAGATTGGAGTGTTTATAGTGCACCCAAAAATTGTTTGAAAAAAATATACAATGATAAAACAAATGAATGAATGAATGAATGAATGGATGGATGGATGGATGGATGGATGGATGGATGAATGAATGGATGGATGGATGGATGGATGGATGGATGGATGGATGAATGGATGGATGAATTGGATGGATGGATGAATCGGATGGATGAATGGATGGATGGATGAATAAATCGGATGGATGGATGGATGGATGAATGGATGGATGGCTGAATGAATGAATGGATGGATGGATGGATGGATGAATGCTTAAGATATTTCAATCAACTGGACCGATATACTTTCCATTTGCGAGTAAGTGCCCCAAAATAATTCTCATTAAAGTGAAAGGCTTTCATTAATAGGAAAAAGGAAATTGAGGATACTAAACGAGCTCGTAATTATAAAAATATAATACTTTTCTCCATTAAAGCCCGCACATATATCACGTACTAAACAACTCAAGTCTTCCTTCTTACGTACCGCCAAATAGCCTTGCGTTAGTAATTCATACGGAAGGTGAATCAAAACACTCTATTGAATGAAACAGGCAAGCAATTACTGTGATGGGAATCCTAGAATAAATAAAATATAATTTTTCATTGTCTCGCCACTTGTCAAAAAAATCCCACTAATAATGTACTACAAAGAATTTTTTTTCTGAAGTAGAAAATTTAAAGTGTGTTTGTGCAAGGAATATTTAAGACTTCCTGTTGATGGGATAGCTGATAATCGAAGTGATCCGTATCTGACTAGGAAAATCCTTTTGATATGATTACAGATAAGCAGATGTATTATTATGATCCCTAAAGAAGGGATTACAATATTCTCAATTGAATTCACAGTAAGACTCGCGACTCGATAAATATTCACCGAAAATCACTTGATTGTTAAATTATTGAGATATGACGCGCGTGCTGATTGGCTAAATCAATGCTCAGACCATGATTTTGAGATGCGCGGCTACTAATGTTACCTGGAGTCAACGCGCAGGTTTCCCTAAATTTACGACTCTCTTTTTTATAGCCTTATATCAAAGCACATATAAAATGCAATGTCGCTAATCCCTTCCTATTAAGCCCCGTTTAGACTGGCAATTTTTGCGGCGATTTTTGCGGCAATTTTTGCGGCGATTTTTGCTGCGATTTTTGTGGCAATTTTCGGAAATATGAAATCTTTTGTCTCATCCTTCAAAAGGGACATTCGTCTAGGAAAATCTTGGTATCCTGAAAAAAACTTTACAAGTAAATTTTTTACCATTATTTATTATGGGCAAATTCGCAAAAAAATCGCAGCAAAAATCGCTAGTGTTAAACGGGGCTTTAGAAAAGAAGAAAAACGTGGTCGCCATATGATTCTGGACAGTCCTGAACTCTTCAATTTTCAAGATATCCGACATGGGGACTATAGATTTATTTCTGTGGTTGAGGTATAGAATTTCAGATGTTTCCATAGCCCTTTTCTGAGATAGCGAACATGGTGCATCACTGTGTTCTAGCTTCGGCAGAAACAGTTTGTTCTTCACACCTTATATGGTGTTGTTTGTACCCAAGCTAGACCATAATGCATCTTGTTTATCGAACTTAGAAAAGACCTATTACCAAATCTTGCTTCTCACAATCCAATTTTCCCACCAGGTATTCTTGGAGCTTCTTTTCTCTACGGTTTGACTGTCAGCGAGAAAAGTACATCCTTTGGAGTAACTATGCCTTCGTCTAACATCAACCTTGGCCAGGCAGTAGGGATAGAAGCATTTCTCACATTCCTTCTGGTATTTACCATCCATTCTGTCACAGACCCCAAGAAATCGCAGGGTTGTTCTGAGTATGGTGCCCCGATAATCATTGGGTTCTGTGTTTGCATTTGTCATATGATAGGGGTGAGTAGGTTCTTTTTTTGTGGACATTCCAAATTAACGGCGAAGTTGAAACGACAACACATGTACTCTTGAAGCCCGCAGAGAACGTTTATGGAATACAAAATCTGATGTATGCAAAAATACGAATAATAAATAAAGTTTACGCGAATTAGTTTTAATTTGACCAGCGGCCATTTTGTTTTGACTCGAGGGGAACTGAGGCCGATTTTTTCGGCATTTTCCTGGAAAGTAACACATTGCGGGCACAAGTAAGACGATAACGTATTCATACTGAACGAGCAAGGACTGCGGAAAACTTATCAAATAAAAATAGTCAAACTTCAACATAGGAGACCAGGCTGACGGGGGTAAAACTTTCTTATTAAATGTAACATACTTATTACTTTTTCAACAGATTCCTTTCACTGGGTGCAGCCTTAATCCTGCGAGATCATTCGCACCAGCTTTGATAAACAATTCATGGAAACATCATTGGGTTAGTTGCGATCTGTACTCGTATTTATGGGGTCACGTGGAGTAGATAGCACGAGAAGACATGGCCGCCATGTTGGTTGATGTAGTAGCAAATGAGTCAGACTAATAGTAAATGATTCGTTCAATTCAAACAAGACGGTGCCATGATTTTTTTCTCACATACTGACCTAAAGTTGGCGACTTCACTAGTCAATAAAGGAAGGGTAAGGGAAAGGCATGGGTGGCGCATGAATTGAAGGTCAGCTGAAAAAGGGTGAAGAACACCCTTACAAAAAAAAAAAAAAAAAAAAAAAAAAAAAAAAAAAAAAAAAAAAAAAAAAAAAAAAAATTGTCAATGCATAAAACAACTCCAACGAAGAACTAACGTCAGTATTTACACAGCGCTTAAGTTTCCTTCTTATTCACTTGCACGGTGGCCGATTTTTTCAACCAGTCTTTCTTATTGTTGTGTTCCAGGTATACTGGATTGGACCTATTCTTGGCGCAATTCCTGGTGCATTACTCTACGAAAAAGTATTTTCAGTAAACAAAAACGAAGTATCACCAGCAGCAGCGTCCAAAAGAGAAGAGGATCATAATCTTTAAACGACTGAAATAATCCTGAACTATTTTCCCGCAACAAAAGTATTATTAAGAACAACGCAACTTCGAGTTTAAATAGGATTTAGCAGTGGCATTTCCAGAGTCGCCCTTCATCCACTGAAATTCCAATTGGAATTTATAAAGCTGATTTTTGCGTAGGAAAGAAAACTAGAAATAAACCCTTAAAGCACAGGAGAGAACCAACAAACAACTCTACTCACATGCGACGAGTCCGAGAATCGAACCCGGGTCGCATTTTGAGCGTTCTCAACGCTACGCCACCCCGTGCTTCCTGTTAAAGTTGAGTTTTGCAGAATTTATGAAAGAGTTGCTACTATCATCAGTGTGAAGTGAACTAAAAGCTCAATGACAATATGAAAACAAACTTCTGTGCAACTTACTGTATGATAGCAAGAGAAAATGAACAATTATAAGACATTTTCTCTTGATAATAGCCGTTAAGATATGCCGGACAGAGGAGAAAATAACGCCAGCCGCACAGTTTTTTTTATCACAGCCAATTACACCATTGAGAAACGGTCTTTTTTTAAAATATGCATTTTGAAACAGAAATTATTGTAAATACTGTACAGCTGTAAGTATGGAAAACTATTAAATGAGCAAAAATACGAGAGCTCAGCTATCAGTACATTGCCCGGAAGGCAGTTGTCAAGCTACGCCGATGCTAATTACTCATAAAGGATGGTTTTTTCTCGTTTTGTCTCTTCTAAGACTGATAATTTTGAACGTTTGTTTTAACCAAGACCTATCATTCAGCTCTTCATAAATATCGCTAGCTTTACATTTGGTCTTTCCAATCCCACATATGCATTAGAGAGCAATGATGATATATATAGACCCTTTTAATAAATCCTACAATGAATGCTTTCTTTTTCGCTTTTGACGTCAAAAAGAAAAAAAATCGACGGCAAATGCGGAAAATAAGGATAGGATTTATTAAAAGGGTGTATAAACCGTATCTTTAGTACCTTATTTGTTGTTATGTCTGTACAGTTCTTTACCTGATTATTGTCGTAGTTTGCTCTCATTGCCATTCTGCGCTATATGTGCCGTTCTTGACTGCATGTCTGTGCTATTTTTTTACTATAATCTCAGTATGCTGTTCTTTGCTGTTCTTTACTTCTGTGCTACGTGTACAATTCCTGATTGTCTTTGCTGTTTGTTAGCGCTATTCCTGCTGTGCTTTGCCATCCTTGCTACTTTGCTCAATATATACCATTCTCGACCGTCTTTGCTGTTTTTTTTTGTTTTTTGTTTGCTATCTCTGCTGTTCCTGGTATCGTTGTATGGATTCTTCCAAAACTGTCACACAGTCTTGCAAGTTTTCCAGAGTGTCTTTGCTCATTGGTGCTGAAACAAAGTGCAATCAATAGAATAGCATTCAATATCGATTATAACCTTTCCACTCTCGGCCAATCAAGAGCCTTCAATACAGTCACTTTAACATCCTTCCTAAACACAGCTCAAAGGAAACCTGCTCTCAAAGAAGTTTCTAAAAATGTACAAAATATTTATACTCTGAGTTAATGCTCACCTAAACTGCCATCTTTGGTATTCTGTAGCTGTGTCTTCGTTTTGTCACACATTGATGTGTGTGAGGACTTAATGGAAGAAAATCCTTCAAGAAGCTAAAGACCAATGAATTAACAATTACTATTGTTTGATTGATGGATTTATGTTTTGTTTTACTACTACTTACATGCAAAAATTTCTCAAGTAAGGAATAAACTCTTTCGAAGGCTGGACCGAGCTCTGGAATGTGAAAATAATATTAACTGTATTAATAATTGTCATTCAGTGGTGGATCCAAGGGAGGGGTGCAGGGGGTGCCCCTACTTCGAAGATAACCAATGCAAAATAATGTTTTTTCCCTTTGATTCTAAGGGGTGCACCACCCCTCCCTGTGTTAACTTTGTGCAGTGCACCCCTCCCTGAACAAATTCCTAGATCCGCCCCTGTCATTAAAAAAAACAAATTTGTTATGCAATTATGGCCTTGATTGAGTACCTGTATCCCCCTCCTAAACCAAGAGTTCCTGCCATGTAGGCTACTAAAGACATGGACTGTTGATATCTACCCTCATACAACCAAGCCCAGAAGACTAACCTGAAAGGTTTGGCTGGGATCTGTTGCTCCAAGGTTTCATTTCAGATTCATAGCAATATAGAAATCCTGTGACCACCTGGGACATGGTTGTAAGGGCCAGATTGAGGGTCTTACTAACTTTTTCTTTAGTTTGTGGATCAGCTTCATTAACACAGACTTTGTTTCTGAGATTGTCCAACTGAAGATTCTGTGTCTCTAATTCTGTGGCAAGCTGATCAGCAACATTTGCAAGCTGTTTATTATCTGGTACCCTGGAAATTAATAATCATTTGCTTTTTATAAAAATCTCTAAAACCTGAAAGTTGGCATTGCTCATACTTAGCCCATTCAAACTTGTAGAAGAAATTACTAACCAAAAATAACCAAATTAGTCCAGAGATTGTTTCACGGTTCAGTAAAAGTGAAGGCTTTTTTGACAAGATGCACTTATGTATTAAAATGATAAAACTTAATATCAATAAAATAAATCGCTACTTAAGTAAATATTATGTACCTTTTGTCATCTGATCTTGAACCACCTTTTGCCAAGTCAGGAGGAGAGAGTTGTATTCTAGTTTTGAATATTTCACTCAAATCTTCTTGCCGACAAAGTGTATCCAAATACTGACAGTCTCGTGCAAACTGATCACTAATACTACAAACACATCCATGCAGTTTTATAAGGGCCTGGTATTTTACCGTTCATATTGTTTAGTTCTAAAATCTAATCAAATCTATATCAAATATTTTTTTAAATGCACTGATGGGCTTAAAATAATGGCTGGTCAGTAGCGTCGTTGGTCATGATGACTGGCCAAATTAGTTTTTGCTTATTCATTCCTCTTTTCTGGCTCAACCTAACTAATCAAATTGGCAAGGAAGAGTTGTGGCTGGACAAGTTTCAATTGTGGCCGGACATTGTGAGATGACCAGCTGTTGTTTTAAGCCCTGATAAGGGTGTAGTAATATTATTGTTTTTTTTGTGTGTGGACTTCCTGTAATTTTGGATGTAGGAGAAGGTCATGAACTAGCCAGAGAGTCTAAGTGAACATTTCACAAATTTTATAAATGGTAGTTTGAGCCAGAGAATTTTGCTCATTTACCAGCGCCTTATCTGATCCCCACCCTTAATGAAACCCCTGCCTATTGGGGAGAGGGTTTGGGTGGGGCCGGGTGTCCATTAACAAGAGTAGATCCTCATACCTTTCAGCAACTGATATTCCCTTTGTTCTTGAGTATGTATCCATGCTGTCAACAGTACCTACTAAATCGATCATATTTTCCATGAAGACTATTTGCCTTCCCTTTGATGTTGAGCCCTTCAACACGAGACAATACTTGAATTAAAATCTTCATTGTTCAAACTGTTGCTAATTATGCAGGCATAATGAAGACATTATCAGCTTGGGTGTATATCAGATCATTTCTGGCTAATATGTGTCATGCTTTTGAGAATAAGATTCTTTATATGACATCCATATAAATGTATATTGTCAAATATGACTTGTTACAAAACAAAGAAGTACTATTCAAGGGAGCATGAATGATCAGAATTCTTTGCCCTTGATAAAAAAGTATGGTAATCACTACCTAACTTAGAACAACTAATGTTAATCAAGATTATATCAATGGGAAAACATTGTTCCCAAGATGAAAAGTCTACTAATCCAGAATTACTCTTATTAGCTATTTTTAATTACTCATAAACAATGCATAAATTAAAAAGTGATTAAGATTCTAACTTACTTTGACAAGTTCAATATCATCAGGCTTGCAAAGACCAAGCAAATTGCAAACAAATAATAGTCCTAAAAATGGTTACAGTAGTTACAGTTAGTTACTTAGTTTATTCTTTATACAGTAGAGTGTACACACTAAACCAGTGAATAATATGAACTTTTGAACTTTTGAACTTTTTATTTATTAACACACATTAATAGAAATAAAAGAATTATTACAAGGATATAATTATGGAAATTATAAGAGCCAATGATTTACAATTGAAATATAGAAAAAAGAATAAGAGAAAGTGTGTGTGGTTGTCGAAGGAGTAAAATACTTTCTAGTCGACAGCCACTTACTGTGATTGATTATTATAACATATTTTGACCAAGAGCCGATTCGGAAATATACATAAATATTTACGCTTAAAGCACTACTCTGACGAAAATCGCCTAAACATGGATTCAGCCAAAACCCCCCAAGAACACTCTCCAAATATTTAATGTATATATATATATATATTATATATATATATTATATATCGTATAATGTATTAATTAGTAGTAATTCATACAGAATCCTTTGTTTTCTTTGTTTGATTTTCACTATTTAGTACTAAAAATTAGTATTTGTTTTATGGTTTTAGTGGAAGCACTCTAACAGTCTGTCTCAGTTATGTGTATGGTTTCAACAAAATTAAGTATAGAGCATTAGTAATATACAGACTGTATGGATCATCACACTTCCAGGATTATGAGTACTGGGGTCCAAAAACAATTGCCCACTCCCAAATTGATTTCCAGATTGATGAACTCCCCAGTCCCTCCTATACCACCCCTGTCAGTGCAGCCCTTCTCTTACGAGTGTGAGAAAAGACAACTGATGTTAATGAGCAATGCGTAACTGAGTCTGCAGCACAAGTATAAGCATCGGCAACATACACAGATTATGAGTGCAGTTCTTCTCTTACAGTTGTGAGGATGACTGAATTGCACACCTGAATCTCAGTTGGTTTATGCTCATGCTTGCAACACAGGTGTCAATCAGACCTTAATGCTTATGCAAATACACAATGCAATATTCATGTTTATTTTGACTTACTTTGAAGCCTGGCATCTTCTTTTGCTTTACTTTGTTGTCCTTCCAATACATCATGAACCGTAGGATCAAATCTGTACATATAAATATGTATCCATAATGAACTGGTTGACTAGAAGCATACAAGTACCATGCAGATGGCCAAACAAACAAAAAATTCACTAGTCCTTGGATTCATTGGATATATATTGGTTCCCAACTGTGGGGCAACATTGTACATTGATTTGTACAATATATGTTCTAGTACCTGCCCAATAGCCATTGTATTAAACGCAGTCTTGGTTCTCCAGGTTTATAAAGTAGTTCTTCTATCCAAGAGTCATCAACACCATCTATATATGGACAATCAAGATCCTGTAGAGCAAAAAGAAAACTTGTTAAACTTGATTATCTCAATACTAGTTAAAGTACTTTTTTAAGGTCCCAGAAAAGAGATCATAGTTACAGTAACCATGATCTCTTATTTGAGGACCTTAAAATAAGAACTCTCACTAGTATTGCGAGAATTAATTTTAAGACTCAAGAATATAGTCTATGATTTCCCTTGATTTTTGCATTAAAGAGAAATTCAAAAAATACTGGCTTGCGGCTCACACGTAGTTTTACAAACTAGCAACTAGTTTTTATCTTAAAAGAAAAAGATCAGAAGAAACTAATACCTCCAAACGCTTTCTAAAGAACGCAACTCTTTCTTGACTTGCTGAACTGGATGCCGCCATTTTTCAAAACCATAATATTGAAGTGCATCACGGGAATATTAGTTCCGATAGATGGTCGATTCTTACACGAAAGAGCTAGCGTTAATTCGGAACACACTCGTTACATTCGGTATTTTCGGGCATAAATCGGGATTGATCGTCACGTGAATATTCATATCCATCCATCCAAGATGGTGGACTTCCTTGCTGAAAATAACGCTTGTGGACAAACCATTTTGAAGCTTGTTAGTCGAGGAAATGCAATTATTGCAGAACTACTTCGACTGTCCGACTTCATTCCACCAGTTTTCAAGCTAGAAACTAGAGAAGAGAAAGAAAAATATGGAGAAATCTTGTCAGACTTTTCGTATTTCAAGGGACCAGATTATTACGAGAACAAAATCAACTCCAAGCCGGTATGTTTTCTTTGACGTTTGTCTTACTACTTGTTTCTTTTTGAGTTTGTCTTGTTTAGTAAAAGGTATGTGTTATGTATAATATTTTTAGTTGTTAACATGTTAGTTGGTTGGAAGTATACTYTCTTGTTGGTGACACCCTGTGACAACCCCTCCTCCCCCCTCCCCTCCCTATGCACCATTATTTATTTTTAATATTTATGTATCATGGCAAAACATTTCAATTTATATATCTCTTCTGTTACTTGGGTTACAGAAATTCCCCTGCAAATCTTTATTTTATTCTTGGATTTTACTTTCTATCGTGCCATATATCATGCCATAAGGGAAAGGCTTTTCTGCGTAGAACTTTTGGAGGTACTTTTAAAAACTATATAACTATAAGGTTTACTTTGGGTAGGTGTCACAATTTATTCGCCTGAGAAAACAGACGGCCCAACCCCCCCCCCCCCCCCCCACAAAAGCACTGAGGTATGAGGTTGGGTATAGCAAAAGAAAACTTGTTTTCTCAGGCTAACAACATTTATATAATTTGTATGTCTTGCAGGAACTACAAGATCTTGATGATGAACTGAGAGAGAATCATCTTGACATACTCACTAGATTTTATAAAGCATTTGAGAGTGTTCACAAATATGTAGTAGATCTAAACAGGTAATTTTTAAATGCTAGCTCTTCTTTTATGTTTTTTTAACAACTTTTTGCATCAAAACTTTAGCAAATTCAAACAACGTGGACCTGAGTTAATGTTTCTTGTGGTTGGCCATTTACTGATAGCTAAATATTCCAAACAATTTCTGGGCAGTTTATAGGAAAACATCCAGTGTCATAGCCACTATGAGGCAAGCAACTCATAAAATCGCATTTCCAAGGGCCTCAATTCCAAATTTATTTTTAGGCGGGCATGCCACGAATCCCACTAGTTGCTCCCCACTCCAGTTGGCCACTCTTGCCTCCTTGGTAAATATTTTGGTCTGGCTATTTTTTCAAAAATGTGCAAAATCAAGTAACATTTGCATAACTGATGAATAAATTTAGGTTTCTAGAGGATCTTGATGAGGGGGTCTTTATACAACAGACATTAGACAGTGTTCTTTTAAATGAAGATGGCAAACAAATCATGGTAAGTCATCAGCATCATTATTTATAATGCACATGATTATTGCTCTGATTATAAGCATCTCTTGTTTGCTTAATTTACCAAAAGCTTTTAAAAGACCCCCTGTTTGGGTTGAATGAATTTTACTAGGTCTCCAAGTTAGTTTTTGTAGTCCTGGCATATGTGCTTGTACCCCACAACCTATTGGTAATTAGAGGATCATAACACAGTACAGTGCAACGTGCAAAAGTATGACCACATTGAATTTATTTGCATACTTCTATGCATGRCTTTGCAGTGCCAAACTAGCATTTACATGCCTTTTTTGGTAAAACCAGCTAGGTTTGCATCAAAATATAACAGTTTAAGGTATGAAAGCCCTCGCTTAGAAGTACGCTTTAAATATACTTTTGCATGTGGCGATGTTATAATTACAATTATTATTGATAGAATTATACATTGGATCCATTGTAGTGTGAAAGTCTTTACCTTTATGGGATAATGCTGATGGTCATTGACATGAAGTTTGATGGTGATATAAGAGAGAGAATGTTGGTGTCATACAACAGATACTGGTATGTGAGTCAACATACAGTAGTTGAGTAATATTTATCCATGGAAATTTGATATATTTTATAAAAATATACAGGGTAATACCTGTATTTTTATAATAATAATTATTATTTGTTAACACCCAAACCTTACTTCATATTGTCCCTCAAAAAACCAAGTCACCTTACATGTTAGTGTGTAAGCAAAGTATTAGATTTTCAATTTTCATGCTTTTCATATAATGACATATTTTTACCCTTGTTTTGATTGACAGTGCTGCCAGAGCGGATGTTGATTCTAATCTGGATGATGTTTGTAAGCTGTTACGTAGCACAGGGTTCTCTGTAGCAACTACTGCCAAGAGACCACTAAAGTACCCAGAGGACTACTTTAGGTTGGATTTTAAGTATTTTATATCATAGAGTATATTATAGGCTTGAACCATAGTTAATGGAGTGGAATGGTTTGGAAACTCTATAGAACAAAGCTATTGTTTTGCGTTTGATGTTGAACCGTACCATCACGTGATACTGACCTTGTGCACAATGAACCAAAGCAAGTATGGCTGAAAATACTCATTTCCTTATTATTTTCATGTACGAACATTTTGAAAGTGAAAGCTTTCATTCAATGACCAAAAACCATGCGAATAAATATTTCTACACAGATACAGTTAAGTTATTAGATGATAAATACGAAAGCATGAAAAAAGGGTCAACATCATATAACGATGGATAAAGTCGAATAAAAACCTAGAACAATAGGTTTCCCAACCATTCCGTTCCATTAACTATGCTTGAACCCATGACCTCGTCATCAATAGTCTGGTGCCCAACCAACATAGCCAACTGGGAGTTAGTTATCATATGTAGTTCTGGAAATTATCAATTATCTCTCTCTGCCCCCAACCCTTCAGGAAAATTTACAAAAAGTTTCCAAGGATTCGTATTTTGATATATTAAGTTAACATATTTTTTTTGTTACTAGCCGTGAGCCAGTTTCAGCTACATTTGTTGACATGTTAATTGGACGATTGCGATCTGACGACATCTATAATCAGGTAGATTAATGATTTAATACAGTATTGTTCTTGCTTTAATTAATAATAAAAAAATATACTGTAAAATGTTTATGTTATGTTATGATGTCATTAGATTTCAGCTTATCCTCTTCCCGAACACAGAAGCACAGCCCTGGCAACACAAGCATCCATGCTATATGTCATATTGTACTTTGCTCCTGATATCTTACATAACCAGCAGGCTAAAATGAGAGAGATTGTAGACAAGCACTTTCCAGACAACTGGGTAGGTCACTGTTGGAGTTGTTGACAGACTCGTTTAATCAGGGTTAGCCTGATTTTGAGATTCAAAATATTCATGAGTACCTGCGTCAATTAAGTAAACAAAAACATTACAAACTAACACATATTAAAACTCATTATTCCTTTCTAAGATGAACTGAACATGAAATTAATATTCTGCAAATTCAAATGAAAATTAGCCAAGGTTGCAAATATTTTTTTGATTAGCATGGTATTTGACCGGCCAGAGGTTTTTTGTAACATTTGCCTGATGACTGGCACTTACTGTATTTGCAGCCTTGTTAGCTAACCATTATCAATGTTTTGATCAAAAATTGGGAATTTTGGCATAAGATACAGTGACATGAGCAATCTGGATGGCTAATTCTCTAGGCTGAGGGAAATTAATTAACAAATTGAAGGTATCGTTAACCATATTGTGTTTTCTGTTAATCCTTCAAGGTTATAAGTATTTATATGGGTATAGTTGTCAATCTTGTTGATGCCTGGGAACCATACAAAGCTGCTAAAACAGCACTCAACAACACCTTGGATATTAACAACATCAGGTCATTGGTAAGTCCTTATCTTTGGTATTGGCTTGTTTAGTCATTCTAAGGTTGAGGAGGAAACTGGGTTGAGTTAGCTTTGCAGTGCATTGTGGGGCTGTTGTAGGAGACAAAATTGACATCATCTTGGAAATATGTCCGCTAATATGAAACAGCCCCACAATGCAAGCTGCAATTGCCAACTGGACTTAGTTTTCTCCTCAACTTTAGAATGGCTATTTTTAATAATACACTTGTGTACAGGGTTTAAACATGGCAGTAGTCACCTAGTCAATACTAGTATTTCTTTACATTTTACTTGTACAAGGAAAATTTGTAAAAAATTCTGATGAATGACAATTATAATTTTTCTTTTCTTTTAAGTCAACCAAAAGAAATGCCAAAGTCCAGAACTTAAATGGAGAGGTGAGATTTCATATATATATAGCTCAACATTTATCTTTATTATTTTGTATTTCAATATCCATATCTTCTCATACTGTAAGAGGGGTTAAAAGCTACATGTACAAAAGAATGGGAAGGGTTTTGAAGGAGGTACAGTATGCCTCGTATTCAGACTTTCTTTTTAGAAGGTTCTTGTGGTATGGGGCAAGGACAGCAGAGCACTATAAAAGTCGAAAAGTTGAAGAATAGTACGAATAAAATAAATGGGAGGGGATGGGAGTTGTAGTGGATATTAGGTACGCATCTTAAAAAATAACACCAGAATATAATAACAACTTTAACTACAACTACAATCACATTTATGAAAATAACGACTCCATGTAACCTCTTTGAAAACGATTTTGGATACAAGGCTAACAAGAATAAAAAACTCCCAAAATGCGCAAATCTCATTTATGAGATGTGTCATTAATTGTGTATCGTGTTAACGCAACATCCAAGGTGATTTTGAAGGGGTCTGTGACACCAAGGACTTTTAATAGAAATTTCAGCAGCAATGAATGAAAGATTTTTTCTTGGCTTTTTCATTTTTTTGTTGTTCAGGTGTTGAACTACTTGAGAGAAGGCTTTCTTGTTGAGGAGTATGTTCTGGACCATATCCCTAAGTTAATGAATTGTTTAAGAGATTGCAATGTCACATTAAGATGGCTTATCCTTCACACGTGTGATGGTAAGTAAAACCATTAAGTAATGCAGCCTGGTTGTTATAGTTCATGGTAGTTTAAGCCAGGGAATTTTGCTCAGTTAGTGGAGCATTCTCCCCAATTCTGACCTGGTAATGGGTAATACCTGTAAGTCCTCCCTCCCCCTCCCTCCATTCTTCCATCCCTCCTTTCCTCCTTCCCTTCCTCCTTCCCTTCCTCCTTCCCTTCCTCCTTCCCTTCCTCTTTCCCTTCCTCCCTCCTACAGCATAAGACCAGCAGAATATGCTTCTTGGTGAAAGATAAAAATTGTTTTAAAATTGTGTTTGTTTTTTATTTTTTCTTTAGTGTATTTACAGGACTTATAATAAAGGCCAACCATTTAACTATCATTGCGGCATTGTCTGATGACTGGCTATCATTTTAATGAAACCCTGATTTTTATGCCCCTGACCAACTAGGATCCAATCTTAGCTGGTACCTCATTTTTTTTCCTTCAGTATTTGATAACAACAAGAAATGCCGTGCCATCAGAGACATAGTCACCTCCTCAGGGTACTCCCCAAGGGCAGTTTTTGAACTGTTGTTGAACACTGCACAGTTTGAGTTGAAACTCAAAGAGGTAATTCTTGAATCACAAAACTCTTGGTTAATATTATATGAGATGAATTAAAAATGATAAAGAATTAGTCCCAAGCTCTATTGGTACACAATGTTGTTTTGAAAGGTTGTCATTGGTTCACAATCAGATATTAGATCAATCAGATTTGGATAGATTTTGTTGGATGTCAGTAAGAGTGTTACATGTACATGTAGGTAGAGCCTAAGGAAGGCCCTTTCTGCCATGATGAGCAAGGACGATAGGTTTATGTAACAGGTTTTTTGATATTCATAGGGCATTAGTAGGTCATTGGTGGGTTATATTGGTTAATGCGCTTCTTGATTGATTTTTTGCTGCAGATGTTCAAAATGATGTTATCACAGAAACAGGGGAACTGGGAAAAGAATAAGAAAGAGGGAATTGAAAGAATGGATGAGTTGTCTGAAGTATTTTCAGGCACAAAACCACTGACAAGAATTGAGAAAAATGGTAAGGAGTACAGTAGCACTGTCTGTGATGATGGTGCATGATGAGTAATAATTATAATAAAGAAATATTTCTTTATTCCTTTGTTAGTCTACAGTTATGTACACTAGATTCTATTCTTAGATTGACTTTTGAGTTTGGAAGTTAAATTGTTTACCCTTCATTTTGGACCATGTTTAAGAATAAGTTTTTTTTGATTTACATTTACTTATTATTTGTTTGTCTTCTCAAGTATATGTGTTACTGGTAAACAGGGCTTAAAATAACCATAGTAGTTTTAGGTTGGTCATACAGTACCTCTTTCATCTGCCTGAACCTTATTGGTCAAAATGACTGACAAGGCAAACATTTGACCCAACAAGCCCCAGTTCTGGGCAGACATTGCCCAGTGACCAGTTGTTATTTTAAGCCCAGGGTAAACAAAGAAATCATACTCAAGGGAATGATGTTCACATGTTCTCAAATGATAAATTATCTCAATTGACTTAAACTATTGCATGTTCTGAATTTTTTAGGCTTTTTGAAGTTTTATCAGGATTATAATGATGTAAACTTGGAAAACAGTTTACTAATGTTCTAAAGTAAAGGATCATGATATTCACCTTGCTTTTTTTGTGTGTAGAAAACTTACAGGCCTGGTTCAGAGAGATGTCCAACCAAATCACTTCTCTTGATTATGATGATTCAACTTCTGCTGGTCGAAAAATGGTACAACTGATTCAAGCTTTGGAAGAAGTATGTACAACACAACCATTTTTTTCATCACTGTTCTAATCTTGCTTTTATTCACTACTATGATCTTACTTAAATGATTCACTTGGACCCTATATTCACTGTTACTCCATTTTAGTTGCCTTGCACCATTTATGCTGGCAATAATGATAATAACAAACAAAGACAGTGTTCAAGTTACAGTACTTCAGTGATTTTACTTCATCCTCTCAGTTCAAAATACATCTAGTTTATGTCCTAGTTGTCTTAAGGCCGGTTTAGAAGGTATGATTTTTGCCTACAACTATCGTATGCAACATGCTCGCGTCTGTCGTAGGCAAGTTGTAGGCTTGATTTACACGCTACGACTGGAGTTGTAGGATGGCGTGAGCGTGTCGTATACAATAGTTGTAGACGAAAATCGTACCGTCTAAAACGGCCTTTATGCATCTTTTATATTTATTTTAGGTCCAAGAGTTCCATCAGCTTGAAAGTAATTTACAAGTTCGGCAGTTTCTTCTTGAAACAAGGCAGTTTCTCCATCAGATGATCAGGACAATCAATATCAAGGAAGAGGTACAGTTCTTGAAATTGTTTTACACATGCACATGCATGTACACTTGGTTGGTGGAATTTTAAAATTTCTACTTTAGTACTCAAAAGGGTTATTATTGCTTTGGGTCAACAAATTGTGTGACCTTTTTCATTGATTCAATCATGTTAGTTTTCCTTCTTGGCCATCTGGCTTGTCAAATTAACTGTAAATATGACTGCTAAATTTTGTATCTTTTTAATAAGGTTTTGATAACAATCCAGTTAGTTGCTGACCTCTCTTATGCTTGGACAATCATTGACAGGTAGGCTGTATGCAACTTTATTTTTCTTGTTTGATATCACTTTTACTTTAGCACTAAACGTTAAACAAGCATTACAAATGGAAATCTAATTTTGTCCCAGCAAAATACTGATGGTGGTGGGAAGGGTGTGAAAGGGTGTGGGATGGGGTGGGATGGGGTGTGATGGGGGTTGGAAGGGTTGGGAAGGGTGTGGGAAGGGTGTGGGAAGGGTGTGGGATGGGGGTGGGAGGGGTGTGAGATGGGGTGTGATGGGGGTGGGAAGGGTGTGGGATGGTGTGTGATGGGGATGAGAAGGGTTATGGGGTCTCTGTGTAATAACGTGTGCATGCTAGAGAAGTGATTATTCTAAGGCATTGTCTCTTCATAAACACATTTTCTATTTTGTAGTTACTCAGGTTTCATGCAACAAGGAATCAAAGCAAATCCATCCCTTGTGCAGAAACTTAGAGCAACATTTCTTAAGGTACGCCACATCTCTAGGCTTGTTGTCCAAGCTCTGCATCATCCAGAAAAAGAGTATAAACTGTAACCCTTCAAACATTCAAATCAAATTTTATTGATGCCCAGAAACAACTGCTGGGCTGATCGTAATCAGGGCATGTCTAACTCACAGATTAATTTCCCTAAAACAGGTTATAATTACCCCTGGGCTGATCAAAGTCGGGGCATGGCTATTTCACATATCCATTTCCTTAAAACAAGCTATAATTACCCCTGGGCTGATCAAAGTTGGGGCACAGCTATCTCACAGATCGAACCCTGAAACAACCTCGGAGCATAAATAATTGGTAAAAAACAAAAATTAAAACCCTGAAACAACCTCTGAGTGGGGTTAATCCAAGTCTGACAGGGAATTGCTAATTAACTCACAGCTTTTGGAGAAAAGCCAGAGAACCCATAGAAAATGTTAATTTTAATGGCTATTACGGCTTGCTTGTACCAATTTTCTGTATTTTTGTTGTTTAGTGTATGTAATTTTGCTGAATTTTGGTACTAAATAAAGATTGATTGGTTGATTGATTGATCAAGCATGCTGTACTATAGATTAGATAACAGTATACATGCATGTTTTCTAACAGATGGCATCAGGAATGGACCTTCCTCTGGTTCGTATCAGCCAGGCAAACAGTCCTGATCTTGTCAGTGTGTCTCAATACTATTCAGGTGAACTAGTGGCCTATGTCAGAAAGGTTAGTAAAGTGAGACAAAGACTGAAGAGAGTATATAAGAGGGATGTTTTTAGCGTGAGCAGATACTGGAATTTTACATTAGGTATTTTAAAATATCAAGGTTTTCCCACATTTAAGGGGAAATTACATGCTATTAAAAAAATAAAGAGTTCTTGAGTTGAGAGTATGACTAATTCAAAAAAAAAAAAAAAAAAAAAAAAAAAAAAAAAAAAGAAATTTAACACCGCACAACATTTTGTAATCAATTGTCTTTTTGTTTTAATCTCCATTCCCACAGGCTGCTACCCATTAAACTATAGCTTGCCTTGTATAGAAAAAATTAATGTTCGTATGTGTGTCTCTTGATTATCTTGATTATCAGTATTCCATATATTTGACCCTTAGGTACTTCAAATCATCCCAGAAACCATGTTTGGCCTGCTAGATTCCATTATTCGCTTACAGACACACAGCATCAAAGAGGTAAGTCAAGCCATTCATGATTTTCATGTTACATGGGCAAGAGCACATTGACAGTTGACAAGAACAGTGACACTGACCTTGGTTCACAAGACATGGAACCTCAGTTAACATGTGTCCACACTGAAATTGGATGGTGACTGTTAATGAACGTAGTTCTAGTTCTTTAGTTTCTCCACRTCTCTTTTAGGTTCCTACGAGATTAGAGAAAGACAAGCTTCGTGAATATGCACAGTTTGATGAACGATATCAGGTATGTATTCACATATTTTCTCAACACACAGCTCCTGTTGCATCAGAGGGAATAATGCAATTCAAAGGGACAGGGGGTAAGGAGGTGCATGAAAGTAGCACTCTAAAATCACAATAAGTGCCCTCAAATAATTAGATTCAAATCTTTGAAATATAACTTTCATAACTTCAGGGCCCGGTTGTAAGAAGAGTAATAGCGCTATCTGACAGATAAATCTTATCCAGTGGATGAATGTATTGGATAATAGCATCGATTTGTCCACTGGACAAGGATTTGTCCGTTGGATGACGTTATCCACCCTTCGTACAACTGGGCCCAGATGTTTAGATATCTTATAGAAAGAAAAGAAATTACCAGATACAAGTTGTTTATAATTGGTTACTGTCACTACTTTGTTGTTATGAAAGCTACACTTGCCATCCAATATGGCAGATAACAGGGTTCGTGCTACTCCTTGAAATCCTTGAAAAGTCCTTGACTTGAAAACACGTTTTTAAGGGCGCTTGGAAAGCTCTTGAAAATAGGGGAAAACGCCATACTCCTGGAATATTCCTTGAATTGAATGCAAGCTTAGTGCAATTTCTAACTTTCCTTTTGAAATAAATAACGATTAAAATTGAATATTGAATATAATAGCTGAATATCTGGGTACTTCTGGTAAGAATGCGTAACTGTAACTGTAACACTGTAACATTGAATCAATGTTTAAACCACGTTGTAATACAAAAAACTTTGTCCTTGAAAATTGAACTTTTGTGCTTGAAAAGTGCTTAAAAAGTCCTTGAATTTTGCAACGAAAATGTAGCACGAACCCTGAGATAAAATCACTTGTATAATTCGTCATAAGTGCATATCACTCATTCAGGTTGTTTGTTTGTTTGTTTAGATCGCCAAGCTCACTCATGCCATTTCAGTCTTCACTGAGGGCATCCTGATGATGAAAACTACTCTTGTTGGCATCATCAAGGTAAATAGCAACTTGTTATTTGCATCTACTTTGCAGATCGTTTATCGTAACCTCCAAGAGGGAGGGGAGGGGGGGGGGGAGTATTGAAAAGTGCTCATGCACAAGGCGCACGTTTCTCACAGATGCAATTTCCAACATTTTCAAGTGATTTCTGGGCAAGAAGACATACTTTCTTGCAGCTACACCATGCTCATAAGTTATAGAATAGAACAGCCTCAATGTTGTTCTTTGTTTCCTCATTCTATTATATATGATCGCATTTTCCTGTTTACTCGTGAACTATCTTTCGTTAGAAAAATTCCCTACAACTTTCAAACCTTATCCAGTAACAAGACCACCTCATTCAATTAAATATAGGTCGATCCCAAACAGTTGCTTGAGGATGGTATCAGGAAAGAACTGGTACGACAAGTAGCTATGGCGTTACATCAAGGGTTAATCTTCAACCCAAGGGCCAAGGTATGTATCATGAAATGCGGGGTAGATATAAGTACCAAGAAATGCCTTTTTTTTTTCTTTTGGCATCAATTACCCATTTTTCTCTTCAAGGAAAAACGAGTGAATAAAGGATGGAGGGGATGGGTTTGAATTAAAGCGAGGAGAATATTTTTTATGAGTAATGAGGTGTCTAACTACTCCCTTCACCGTCCCTGGATTCCTCATTCGTATGGATCGTGATGCTTCTCCATTTCAACCCTCTTGGGAATAACAGACAGCATATTAGAGAGTTTAAGATTCTCGTTTACGGCAAACGTGAAACGTCAGTTGACCATTAAAAAATTCTTTAAAATTAGTGAAAAGGAATCGAAAAAATCTCCAAGTAGTAGATAAACAAAAGAATACTTGTCTTTGTCGAGAAGGTTTGCAAAAGGTAAAGTGAAATGTAGGGAAACGATGAAAACGTGGTCACGTTTGCCGTTTGCGGGAAGGAAAACGGGAATCTTAATCTCAACGGTGACCGCCAAACGAAGAAATGACACTAAAGGGAAATAAGGAAGCTTCGCCCAAAATAAGACACCATTTCTTCTTATTCCTTAATACATTACACGATTAGGTCAGTGAGCTGCCAATCAAGCTAAAGGAGCTGGGTGGAAAGATGGACGGGTTTCGACGGTCGTTCGAGTACATTCAAGACTACATCAACATATATGGATTGAAGATTTGGCAGGAAGAGATATCCAGGATTATCAATTATAATGTGGAACAAGAATGCAATAGCTTCCTCAGAGAAAAGGTTCGTTGCTTATGTCTGGGACCGTGGAGAGGGATTGAGTGGGAGAGGCTATATACTCCCCAATTTTTGTCGAATCGACTCGTTTTTTAAGGTTATAGACAGCCTTCAGTTTAGAAACACAAATTCAAAACCTAGCTCTCCCTCGCACGTTGGGTTGGGTTGGAAGTGTGGCACGTTGGGTTGGGTTGGGTGTGTGGCACGTTGGGTTGGGTTGGAAGTGTGGCACGTTGGGTTGGGT